CCGGCCCCAAAGCACTTTCGATCCATCCTAAACTTTTATCTGAAAAAATGCACATTACTGAATGGGCACCAAAGAAGTTTTCTAAACGTTGGGGGTTATAACTCCATTTCTCACCTTTGTCCTCATCATCATGAGACCCGTGTTCCTGATTCTGCTCTTTGTCGTATGTTGCTTTTTCATAACCTGCTTCTTTCTCTTGTTCCAACTCATACTCTTCGTCGCTATAATCAGTAGACGAAAGATCCCCATCATCTGTTTCTTCATCATTATTTCGCCACCTATCCTTCTTCGCCAATGTACTATTGTTTTCCTCGTAATGGATCTTACCGCTCGGGTCTAGCTTATTCGTAAGGTTTAGTATAGCATTTTCAAGCTTGAATAGCCTTTTATCAAGAATTTCTATTGTTTTCACGTTAGATATACGCTTGGGGGTATTCGAAGGTTTTGGCCTTTTCTCTCTTCTATCTTTATATATGCATCCTAATGCATTTGACTGCTGACAATTTCCACACGGATATTGGCCATTACATTTAATCTTTTTTCGACGGCAATTATCACAAGCCACACGTATTCTCTTCTTGGGTTTTGAATCCCTTGCATTATTCGAATTCATGGCTTCAGATCGATACTTCAAAAAAAAAATGTAGAGTCTAAGAAAATTTCAAAGTAATACTGTTAATCAAAGATCATGCGCAGCGAAAATCTCGAGCATTCATATTGAGCCTTTCATGTCAGTAAATTCAAGATGGTCTCCAATGCGTAAACTTCGTATTTATATTGTTCTCCTATTCAACATATCCGGCTCTAGAGTAGATTACTTAATTAATGTCTTTACTCGTCCCTATGCTCTTTGATTTTGAATTCAATCTCGCATTCTCGTTAAACGGGAAGTTCCAAGATGTAATTTATTTGAAATTAGCCTAATGTATCATTCACTAGAATGTTTACATAGCCATCTAGTTATTACTGCCAGAATACTTTTTAAAATATCTACATGGGTTTCTGACTAGTAACATATATAATAACTGTATCGTACTGTAGATTTTCGTTTCTTAATGTTAAAGACCCAAATTGTTATCAAAGAAAAAATTAGGAAGATTGTTCAACTGAGAATAAATAATTGATGTAATACCATCATCATTAAGATAATCTGAAATTAAGTCATCACTCGTGAAAAAATCATTTGTATTACCGATTGGATTTAAAATGTTTGGCGAATTTGGGCTCATGTTTGTACGTCCGTAACTTTCACTATTTCTTTGTTCTCTTCCGTATAAACTTTGGGCATCAATGGGTTTACCCCCATTATAAGGAGCAGCATTATGGCTGTTGTTGAATTTTTTATTTGACGAGAAAGGAGAAGTTCCGCATACCCTTACAAACCCTTGGGTTCCGAAAGTGGAACTAAATTGCGAGAACGATTGTGAAACAAAATCTCCGTTCTCTTTGAATATATCAGGGAACTGTTTTTGTGTACCTTCCAAGTGATTTCTCAACGCAGCATCATCCGCCAATATCAGGACTCCCGTCTTGGTCTCAAAAACTCCGATTACAATTCTTAGTAATACTTTAATAATTAAATCAACCAACGCATCTTTAGATTGGTATACTTTAAACCTACTAAATCCTTCAACAGGCCACGTCTTCTTATGCGAAAAAAAATTCATGGAAATGTCCGCCAAAAGTTTGATATCATTATACGTCCCCGGTGCTGTAGGGTGGTTGATACAAGCTGCCAGTAAACTCATAAATGCAGTAGAGGGAAAGAATACAACCCAGTTATAAAATGAAAGACCGGTATTTTCACGTGGCATATTCTTAGCTATGACAAGAATTGTTCTAGCACTATCAAGAAATAGATTCCTAAATGAAAGACCTCTTTCATCATTTTGATTATTATCTGGCATGCCAGTCAAAAATGGAATTCTGTTTATAACCATCAAATGCGAAAAGTATGTAAAATGAATACATAAAATATTTTTTGCATTTGACACATCTAATGAAGTGTATACGTTACTAAATTCTGGGTCATTATAGAATCTTGGTCTCAATGACGCATCCATCAGATCAGCTAATTTAAATGCTTCCATGTTATGTGTTTCCAAAGTTGCCAGTAAACTATCAAACGATTCTGTTTGGGCTGAGGCAACAAAAAGAGTGTTGTAACACTTAGATCTAATTCTTGTCAACAACAAGGAATAATAATGAAAAGTAGCCATCAAATTTTCTTTTTGATCATTACTAGCATTGTTGATTTCCGCACCAGAATGAAAAGAGATGGCATCCAATGAATCAATATTAGTATCCAATCCATTTATAAGAGGGGGTTTTCCACTTCTGAAGCAAATTTCCATGTCAAAACAGTAGCAGCACCACCATATCATTTGTCTAGTTCTAGCTTCCGCGGTTGATAAATCAGCGTACGATTCTTGTCGATGTAATCCAATCTCTTGTGCAAACCTAATAGCAATAGAAACAAGCATATAACTCACATGAGATATTATGTAACTAGACTCGATGTAAATAATTAATAAAATGATTGCTTGAATCGTTTCAATACCGTCACTTATAACCAGAATCCTGTGGTAATAAAATACACAATTGTCAAATAACTCGTCTTGGAGCATTGTTAATTGATCGTTGTTCATAGATTGAATACTTGCTGGTGTATTAGCAGAACAGCTTGAAGCAGGCGATATATTCAGGCCCGAAGTCTCATCATCTATTTTAGAAGATATGCATAAACAAATTACCATACTCATAATGATTAATTCAGAACATTTGAACTTCCTGGGTTTCTTCCCATTGATTCCGTAGTATGCTTCGAATAAACCTTTCACCCAATCGATGTCACATACAAAGTTCGAAACTGCGTAGATATCATAATAATTATCTAAGAAATCAAACACAAAGCGATAGTCTTTAGGAAAAGGCGCCTCCAATAGTTTCTTTTTCTTCGCTGCATCAATTAATGGTGGATCGACCCACTT